AGCCATAAAGTCTCAAAAGTACCAGTTGAGAACAACAGTAGAGCTTGCTGCCTCTGTTCCACAGTTCTTAATTTATATATGAATTATGCCAAATTGCTCCTTTTATAATGTCCAATTCCAATTTCACTTGCAAACTTGTAAATCAGGAGTGGCTCCCCAAAATCAAGATGCTAAACAGAACTTAGTTACAATTGCAGGAAGTTGGGAGGAGCGATTGAGGGAGTTGGTTCCCTCGTTATATTCTTCCCTAAAAAGAAGCCCTACTGCCCACAGCTAGAAGCATGCTAGGCTGGATGGACTTTCTGGCTTACCCACTGGGTTTTTATGCTATATTCAGTGAACCTAAACCAACTGGGAGACTACATGAAATTGTACTTATTGTCCCAGATTTTTGAAACCTGATGCAACTTAGGAATTTATAGAAGTGAAATAAAACATTAGTGTTCAGACCCCTGATCTTATACACTAGACACTACTCCTAAAATGGTGGGTAAGTGATGTCTGCCATATTCTGAGTGATAGCTGTATAAGTACAAAGCTGGGAGTTATTAGTACTGTAGCTCTACCCCAGATTTCTACCGAAATACTAAGGAACAGAAACTTCTTCTGAGAACGACGAAGATCTGATCACTTGAAGAGCAACTAAACTTCAGGGTTAAAAACATGTGTCACCAAACATTTACCTCTCTTGTACCAGGGTCCGGAACTTCCCTGGATTGGTGGAAAGGAGCTGCTTTGCTTCCTCGAAGCCAAGCTGTACCGGGTAGTATCCCCCACTGAATGGGTTGTGACATGAAGTTTGGTCAGAGCCCAGATCAACTAACAGCTCTCCTGTTGTGTCCAGCTCATATACTAGCCTCTCCCTGGGGAAGACAATGAATGGAGTGTTTGAACAGAAGCTGTCGTTTCACATTCTAGCTCCTCTTTCATCCCAAGAGGTTGTTTACAAAGGTATGGCCTTGGCATATGGTCTTTGTTTTAACAGTCAGGAGATAGGAAATGATGATGGATGATTCAGATACCAGTATGACATACCAGTCAAACTCAATCCTTGGTGTGGCTCATCAAACTCAATTATATGGTGTGACAACAAGACTTACCATTGGATAAAGCCTCAAGAGTGCCAGAATTTTTATCCATCATCCAATTATGTTTATTCAATCAATACCTCAATACTTCTATTCTTTACTGAAGACAAAGACATTTTCTTGCTATAAATTCTTTCTTCATCTAAAGAAGAATCTTATGTATTTCTTTCCCTGAGAAATTCATTGTTCCATAAGGAAAGGAGAAGGTGCATAGGAAGCAACTGGGAACTGGAACACAAGGGTGAAGACCCCTCTTTTGACAACACAGTTTTTCATGAGCATCTAGAGTAATGAACTCAGCACTAGGTTTAAACGCCTCTTCTCTTCCAAGTTTGGGAACTAATTCCAGGTTGACTACAAGCAATAGCATTAATATATCCATTATAACCATATATACTACTTACCACAGATCTACCACATTCCCATGGTAACCCAAACTAAGGGCAATTTTATTCTTTCTTGCATCTCTAGAATAGAGTAGAAAGATTGGTTGAAGAAGATACACCTCATGTAATTCCATCTTGCAACGTATAAGCCATATAGAGTCAAACCCAGCAAAAAAAGTTTGTGTTATTTCCAGCACTCATCTAAACAACAGATCTTTCAACCTTTATGTAATTGTTAATCACCAATTCCAGAAAACTTGAGTGATGCTTCAAGTGCTACATTATTTGTAATTGCTCTATAAATATTCATGAAACTGAATGAAGACACATTTAACATATATAAGTGATATGAAGCATTGGTAGTGACTTGCAGTAAGCATTGGCAGTCACTAATAATGACTGCTGCTGTTTGGAAGGATGGATCCACATTCAAAAGAAGATCTGGAATAAGAGGTGTCCCTCAACCTATATGCACACTAAAATGGCAGAATGCAGAAAGATGTAAAGTGAGGATTAGGAGGCAGAGATAAACTCACTGAATTATGTTACAAGTCCTACCTAAGGCGAGCAATGCAATGGTCCAGGTCATTAGAGATTTCCATCAGCCATCCCTGCTTGTGACGTTTCAAAAGTGCTGCTTCATCCACCTAAGAGAAATAGCAGAGATCTTAAAACTCCTCTTTCCCCTATCCAATCACTTTTACCTTCAGTTTTTCAATTAGTCTGCAAGAAAGAGTAGCAAACAGGTAAAGGGAATAGCCCTGCCTTGGCCTTAAGAATATGGAGTGATTGTTCAAATACTTATTTTTCACCTCTGATTTTTATTTTTTTTATACTTTCTGTTCTCTTTTACTCCAGGCTCAAAGCAAGAAAAAAAAAAAAAACTTTGATACATCACTTCCAAAAATACTTTACAAGCTAAAAATTAGCATTAAAATTGTACAAGAGGTAATATTTTCCCACCGATTTTAATTATTTTTATTTTTTCTTTTCATGATTATATTGAAAAAAATGAAAGCCAAAAACTTTTCCAAATTGTTTTTCAAATCTGGCTATTTTCTGTGAAAATAAAATTTCTATTTAATTAAGGAAGTATTTTCTTTGATCAGCTCAGAGATAGACATTTCTGCCAGACTGCCCAGGATGAAGCAATGGTTTGCTGAGTAAAATTGACTCTCACTTTTGTTCTTCAGCTGCTGGTTGAAAATCTCAACCAAATATGGAAAAGAAGAGGAAAGCATTTTCCTGTCCCAGCTGGCTAATGCCTCTGAAAAATGGAATGGATCAAAACAAAACTATGCCTTTAATTGCCTCGTGTTTGAACTTTGAGGATCCAAACCAACTCAGTCCCAAATCTGTATTTTCTTCTGGGCTCAGCTTCTGTGTGTGTCAGTGTGTATATGCATAAGAGACAGCTAGATAAAAATACAAATGGATAGACAAACTGTGGAAGCTTTGGCACAGATTCCATATTAATGGTTCAACGTACAAACTTGCACATGGTTAAGACTTCTATAATGAGCTATTAGTGGCATAAAGCAAGTGGCAAAATTAATTCAAGCCAATTTTCTGTGATAGCCACAGAGTTAAACACCCACAGTGTGTGTGTGTGTAAGAACAAATAACCTGCATATCCTCTAGTATTTCATTAAAGCATTTCTACTTCTCTATAACCCACTCCAATAATTTCCATTCTATTATTTCTCATTAGCAAACTATTTATATGTAAATTAAATAAATTCCATATTCAGGAGTTGCTTGAACACCAGGAAACCTTTTCTTTCCTAATTATTCTTAGCATGAGAAACTTCCCATCACTTCCCATATCAGTAATAAAGACTACCCTTCCAAAACCCCAGATTATGATAATATCAGTGTCACTGCCAATGGAATTATTCAATAAAGTCAGGTGCCGTGGGGGACAGCTTCTTTGGGAGATATTTAAATCAATGCATGAGGAAAGATATTAAATGGCCCATATGAATTACAGGAACTGGGTTCATTTAAAGCTCAGCATAACACAGATCAGATCCATTTTAATCTTTTACCACATCCTACATTTTTTACTTCAGACCTCTCTGACAGTCTTAGCCTTTCACAGACTTGCTAGCCTACTCAAGAAAACTAGCTTCCTTTGAACCACACTTTCAAAAACAGGCTCATTTTTTGATCAGCATCTCACTAGTTTAAAAAACTGCACAAACATGATGAGCTATTGTCACCTCCGGTGTAACCCTAGGGAGCTTAGTGCAGCTCAGAGGAGATAGTCTGGCCCTCCACACAATTATTTCATAAAATTACAATCTGCTTTGTGTCAAACAGAAGAGGTAAAAAACTTGCACCATTAATCCCTTCTGTCTGAGCTTCGGAAGCCCTGGCTGACAAAGTGACATCTCTTACACAATTCAATATCATTTGCATAAATAGTTCCTTAAATAAAATGTACATATATATAGCTATCCACATGTGCTCCTGAGACACATTTCCGACAAGGATCATCTCACAGGAGATAAAAACCAGGCGATATTCAGTCTCCTGAACAAAATCATCTGCAGCTGTGGAGATGAAAAGGACAAAGGACTGCTGTGAATAGCTTTCACTGGAATCTTTCTTTTGTATTTTAGCATTTGAAAGATCATGATGACAGAGTAGAAGTCTGAATAAAGACAATTTATTCATTAATAATTTATTCAATAATAAATTGAATAAATGTATTTCATCTGCAGGGAGTACCTGGTAAGATTTCAAATACATGCAAAATTCATGCTAGCAAAAAAACATTTGCACCATCATTGTAAAACAGATGAAACCCTAACCTTCCATGAATAAGACCTGAGCTAGCCAGAGCAGGTCAGATTTACTGCATGCCACGTGGGCAGTCTGACCTATTGTGTTTTGAAGTTTAATTATAATTACCATGGGTCAGATTGCAATATTCTTACCCTTTTCACTGCAGCAAGTGACATGCCTACAGCAGAGGTCTGCAGCTAATTCTCTCTATAAACAACTTTGCCTGAGAAGGCTAAACTCCCACTGAGGTTTGGTTCTCAAAATCTTTCTTCCTCTGGAGCAGTAACAAGAGCTCATTATCTACAGATAGTCAAAAGAGCTCAATGCATTTTGGTCAGTCTGATATCTGCTCCACCAAGAGCATTTCCCCAGTGTATTGAATTCAAAGGTAGTCATGAGGAACGAAATACATGGAAGTGTTTATTGTCTCTCAATAGTCAATATAATTAAAGAGATTCACAACCATTTTCACAGAATTGCAGAGCAACATTTTCTGTTGAAAAATTGTTGCAGTGTTTTTGTAGTCCACCCTTCCATCTGATATGTTAGAACAGAACCCTATGATAAGCATAATAGCTGAAAAATGCAGGTATTAGAAGAACCTATGTTACTTTTTTATACAAAAGTGTATTCCACTCAAAACTTACAGGCACGTATACTTACCAAGATTATGATGTTGGTGTTCCATATTATATAAAATACTTCAGGATATCTGTGGATCCAGTGGATCCACTATTGATTGCTTGGACATTAGCTGTCTTTGAATCACAGATCATTATTAGATCCTCTTTGCTTATGTGAAGAAATAGCTGGGCTATTTTAACATATTTGAAACAGAGAAACATTACATCAGGATGAAAGACTACAAAATACATGCTGTGGGTGAGCTTCAGGGGACAAGGAAAATGGTACTACAGAACTTCTTCCTCATCAGCATTTTCCTTTAGCAGAACTTACTTTTGTTGTCCACGAACTGGGATTGTCATAAGTGCTTGTAATTAGCCTCACCATCTTCATACTGAAGCCAACTTTAAAATTCCCAGTTTTACAAAATCCCATTGACTTCAAAGAATCAAAGCACCAAGTAACTTCATGAGTCCCAACCTTGATGAATGAATCGTACCAACATCTTTAACAGGTACTTTCCATTGCACCTGATAAGGGTGCCAGAGGCATTAAAGGTTAATCATAATGTAACTAACACCTTTTTAACATAGACTTTTGTGCATAAGAGGGTGCAGTTACCATGGGAATTTCCTGTGAAAATGACACCCTTTCATACACAAAATGAGGGTACCTGAAGCACCGAGAATGGCTCATCTGATGAAATCATTCTGCATTATTTGTGGAACAACCATAAGAAGTTACAGTCCATACCCTTACAGTCTGATCCAGTGAGTGAACAAATAGAGAATGGAACAGCAGTGAAAAATGCTCAGCAATGAAAAGGACAGACAGATCTTAGAAAAAAGTCTCTTATGTGAGTTTGGCTTGTCCAGGTTACCTGAACATGTTTGATCAGGAGATTCAGCACGTGAAGGAGAGACGACAAAATGAAAGCATTGCTCTCACCTCTGCAATGATCCCCACACACCCAGCAATGACTGCAGCCTTTGCTTGAGCCCCACTCATCCCTCCAAGACCAGAAGTAACAAACACCTTTCCAGACAGGTCTTCTGCCTTCAAGTAGCGACGGCCTGCATTGAGCACTGTGAGCTGCACACAACACAATATAGCAATTATCGGAGCTATTTTTCCTACAGTTCCTAAAATTTAAAGATCTTCTGTCCCTTTTGCAAACAGTTTGAAACGCAGGGATCATTGGGACCATGAAACTGTTTTAATCTTTAAGAAGGAAACATGTGACAAGGTGATGTTGTGCAACTATCTGTCCTGATTACATGTATTTCTCTCACCACAAAATAGAATAATCAGTGGTTCCCGAGACGCTGCTCTTGGGGTATAGAGACTTACTCAGGATGCCTACAAAAGGCAGCCAAGGAAAACAGCTAAGAAAACAAGCTAAGAAAATATTTTTATCTAACACATTTGGTCAATTCATACTTTGCTTATTGTAGCTAGGTATGAGCTCAGATTGAGACCTTGATTGCAGGTTCCTTCAGGTCTGTGTTCTGCTTAAGATGCCATGGACTATCAGAATGGAAGCACACTGATTTTTTAAGGAGCAGGCAATGAGAATTTCTTTGGTAGCCAGAACAATCCACTCCAGTCACCAGCCACTGCAGGAGATACCCTCCTCCAAAAGGTATTGACAAATAGACCTTTCCCCAGTTTCTTACCACAGTCCCATGGACTATTCCCTGAGGCCCAATGTAGCAGTAGCTCCCTGCAGTCATCTGACCATACCTAGCAATAGCAACAAACGCAATGATACCACATGTTACTCAGTCTGGGATGAATTCTGTACATGTCTACATATGTTTCCAGTATAACAAAAAAATCTCTGCACTTCAATTTGTTGCTAAAGATCTGCTATTTTCAAATTCACAGCTTGAGTTTCTTTATTAGCAATTCACCAACATGTTTTTGGAGGAGCATTTAGCTTGTTAAATTGAATTAAAAAACCACATGGATCAGCCCAAACCAATTGTCCACATTCCTATGAAATTCCCAAGAAAGTGGTAATAGATATTCTCTATTCATGCCCTTTCTTTTCTTCCAACTTCCTTACCTACACCCAACTCTCCAGTGGTTTTAATTTATTCTCTCCATGGTACACAACAGAATAATAATCCTGTGCTCATCGACTGGATTAGCAGTAAAAAAAGTAGGTTAATAATCATTCAAAAAAAGATAACTTTCTACTTCAAAGCTTTCTCTTAGTGTGAAGGAATGTTTTATAAATTGTGTTTTCTGTAGACTGCAAAACAACTACTACAAGTGGAACTAGCCAGTGCTATAAGTAGGTTATGACTAAGGCTTCAGGCTGTAATTCAGCTAAGTCCCACACATAAGCCTAATACTAATTCCTAGCAGACCTCAATTACATACTTATATATGTGGCTGAACATAACTCAAACTCCAAGTAATTCCACTTAAGTGTGTATTAATGCTTTGCAGCATCGGGACTTTATGCAGCACAGTTTAAATCCATCTGCATTAAAAATTTTAACCAGCTACTGCTTGATGTCTGAATTACATTTTAGTTAAGTATTTGATATATTTTAATAGCGAGGTATCTTCTTACATTGTTACTCCCAAAGCAAACATCTTCTCATATTCATCTCTGGTGGAATAGTTGGGAATAACCTAAAAAAGCAATCAAAGGAAAACCCACATAAGCAAATTAGAAATTTAAGCAGATCTTTTTAACAGCCTACATTTTCCTAACTACGGTCACACACATAGAAAAACAGTGAAAAACAGGAGGAGTAATTCAGGTGTTTTATTCCATGCATTCTAGCATTAGAAAAAAAGATGTCTGGTCTTTCTGGCAGTGTGACTGTCATGCAAGTTTTAAGGAAAGCAGTTCTCTAGCCACAAAACTAGCCTGAAGGGAGGATAGATATTGAATGGCTCAAAAGACTGGCAATGAACCGGTATGTTCACTTGTCCAGCTTGCCTTCCAAGCAAAGCAATCCAGAAATCTGAGCATCTGATTAACAGTCATCTGTTTGCCTATTGAGGGCTTTTAAATATTCCAAACTGAGCCCAGCTGAACTGTTTTGGTCAAGGACATGTACAGCTCAGGCTCAGTCAGAATAGAAGATGTCTAATAACAGGGGATTGTTCCCTCCATCACTGCAGATCAGCACACTTGAGGTGAGAGCAATGGTACTTGAATAAATGCTGCAGAATTTGGACCCCATATTCTCCTGTGTGCTGTTGTAAGTTCAAGTAGTATAAATAATATTTTAATGAAAACACTCAAAAACTAAACAGAGGAGAGGAAAATGAGAAAACAAGATGCTAATACCTACCATGCCATTAGTAATGATTAATCGAGGAGCACTGTACATCACTAGTGTTTGCTCTTCAGTCATCTCTGACAAATAGTGCATTACCAACCAGAACTGAAAGGAGAAGCAAGGAAAGTGAGGGAATCTGTTTGCATCTTACATTTACATTTCTTTGTGTAGCCACTAAACTCTGAATATGAAGGCAGCTATAGAGGTAATGAGGTGTATTCGCAGATGGAATAACAGCCAGAGCTCTCAACAAACATAAATCACCAACCAGAAAAACTCTGAATAAGTTCCAGAATAGTTTCTCCAGTACAAACCCCAGAAATCCTTCATTTTTTGAGCCATCCTAATTTTATCTTGAGGTGAACCATTTGGATCTGGCACTTTTCTGGCAATCTTTCCAAAGCCAAACTGCAAATTTTTCCCTATAGAAGTGATTAAAATACGCATGCATATTGTTGATCCTAACCTGAAATGGATAATTCAGCATCTTGTAGTGCTTGTCATCTTTTCAACAAAGGGATATTACAATGTGGACTTTAAAATTAAATAATTTTTCTTCTCAAAGAAAAAAGATTCAGCTTTCCTTATGGACAGTGAAGAAAGTCCTTGAGGCACGCAGGAGCATACAAATAAATGCATCTCAACTTTGTCTGCAAAATTCAATAGTTACTCTTGATGTATGCCAAAATGTAGGCTTTGACCATTTAAGCTGCCTGTAGATTTGACTTGCATCCATCATTGTCTATCACAAAGCCCATTATATTCCACGGGGCTTTTAGTATATGACAGCTAGGCCTGGGAGGAGCTTTCCCATGCAATACTGGAATTCAACAATAGCTTGAAACTAGAGTTTCTGTAGGGACACAAGGTTTTGAGGAAAAAGTGGGACTGCTGATAAAAGAAACATTAAAAACAGTACAGATTTGAAACCAGTCCCTTCTAACCCAGCTCATTTCCCAAGCTGCAAGTTAAGTTGAAGAGGAAATAGTTACTAGAGTTACTGTCTTGCTTTTTACGTTTTGTTTTTGTTTAATGAAAAATGTTGAATAATCAGATTCTGGTTCTAGGACAGAACAGGTAACGAGCTGAACTCTCAACTCCTTAGCAGTCTGGCAGAAGCATTGTAATAAAACTAGAAGCTGTAAGATAGTAAGATCTTTTTGCACTGAAAGGCTTAACTACTAAGGAGGGAACAAAAGCCTTTCCTAGCTTAAAGAACAGTTCTACTGTCTGCAGGCTTGAAAAGTTAGCTCTGGACATGGTTTGTTCTTTTAAAATTATTCAGAAGAAAGTACAGGTCTGCGTGGATGTTACAAGCCAAGCTGAACCTTTTAACTAGGAATTTTGCAACGATAGATTTCTAAAAAAACGTGTTGTTTTCAAGCCACAAACAGAACAAAATGTTCTGTTATAACCAAATCATACACGTGATTGCTACTGTAAGTAAGCAAAACCAAAAGGTTTTGTTTGTTCTGCTGTGAAACAACTGCAGGTCACAGCTCTGGCTTGGCTGAGAATAAGAGAAAAGAGAGTATTTCTGACTTTGGCAGTGCTCCTGCTTCACCTTGCAGCCCAGCATCTGCCTAAGGGATGTCAGTCCAATAAAGGCTTCTGTATAAACTGCTAGCATGGCTCTCATCAGAAATGCTGTACAATTCATGTAGTTAACAGGCATTAGTTAACTGGCATTTACTAATTAATAAACAGAACAAAGAAATGGTGTGTATTGCCATGGTACCTTTCTTTTAAAAGGTCAGAACAGTTTTGCCTCAAAAGCTGCCTAAGGCTTCCATTTAACTCCCATTTACCAGATTAGGAAATTGGAGCATGAGTTTTCTTTTAGCCACAAATGAAAAATCACAGTCAAATTGGGAAGAAAACCCAGGACACTCAGCCCCATGCTACAGTGAGGAACATATTCCTCTCCCCTAACTAGGAACTTCATTTACACATTAGTTTTGCTTGGATTTTTTAATAAGCAAGAGGCCAGATTCAGATAAAACCACAACAAGGTGCACACATGATCCTTTATGACAGAAGTTGGTTCCTTAAGACAGCTTTTGCTTATGTAAGCTACAGAATCAGAAACCCAGATCTTCCCAGCCTCAGGAATGACACTGCCCTTCAGGGTGATGTAGCTGTCTACCTGCACCATTTCTGTTCTGCACGGCAGAACTCAATGCCCATCTCCACCTGTCCCCACTCTGTGGCCTTGGGGCAGACCAGAGGCTGCCAGGATGATGTGATTTTGGCATCCACAATTACCTCATTTGTGCCTATCCACAGACACTCAGGGTGGTTGTTCATTAAATGTTCCTCCTGCTACCACACACCGGTAGAACATTCAGACCCAGAGCATTTTTTCTTGAGAGAATTGAGCTCATACAAAACAATTCTAAATATGTTGCTGATGCCAAAGATCTCCTGAATTATTCTCAGAAGATCGAGAATAATGTTGCTAGGCCTGACAGTAAAGCACACTATGATCTGGCCAGCCAGTGCGTAAATATTTACAGCCAATCTGATTTGCTTGGAAAAAGACTCAGGACTGCACTTTCTTGCATCAAAGCCTGTTTTATTTTATTCCACTACTTGTTGCAGAAAATGTTGCAACAGTACCAGAAACAAGCAAGCAATACACTTTTTTTGTTTCTTAGAATTCATTTTGACTCTAAAATTATCTGTGCAAAACACACAGGCACATACAAATGCATCAGAGAAAGAGAAAGAACTGGTCTTTACATCATCATACGCAGCCTGGTATGTTTATGGTATTATGTTTAGTATTTCTGTTGGGCTGTCTGCGCTCTCCTTACTAAATAAAGCTCTCCCCATCTACGCAGTTCATAACTGAGCATTCCTCTATGCAGACAGGATGTTTTGGAGTATTTTGAGACAACGACTGCCAAGAATTATCACAAACTGCCTAAGCAGAATGTGCGTGGGGGAGGGTGAAACTGGTTTCATGAAACAAGTTGCAAAAGCAGCAATGTCCTACCTGCGCCCAGTTGCTGAAGACCTGCCCATTTCCTCCATAAGTGACAAGCTCCTGAGGAAACTGAAAAAGACAATTTAACAATAAGGCAGGCACTGTTCGGAAACATTTCACTGTATCTCCAAGCTATTTTTTTAATCTCAGTAGTAAGTCTTTTCTATAGCTTATTGCGTCAACACTCTCTAGGTTCTTGAAAATACCATCATAAAAATGATCATTTAAGAAAAAAAATTAAAATTATTTTTCAAAATGATATGTTTGTTATTGTTACAATGGTATTTTGGATGCAGAATGCTACAAAGTGATTCCTGGATTGCAGTTCCTGTAACAGGCAGATAGCCCAGTAAACTCCTTTAAACAGGGAGTGAGTGAGCTTACTCTTTGGTTGCTACTGGCATTTACAGCTGGAAGAGTCTACGACCAGCAGGGCATAGTTGCATGGCCTCTCCCCTGTCATTTGCAAAAAGATGCATTACACTGGGTAGTGCATGTAAGGGTGGACTTTGGTCCTGTAATCATCTAGTAAATCTGTCCTTAAGGGATGAGCTTTCAAAGACACATGAAGCATCAGCACTACTTTTTCAACATATGTTGTAGAAGCAATGTTCTGAGAGCTGAGGTCTACCTATATCCCAGAGAGCAACCGAGCTCCTGTACATAGTGGGAGCTGGAGCGAGCCTTGCTGGTGTTGTAGGAGGCCTCAGGGTCTAAGCCAGGACCAGGACCCACTGTGCAGGACTAACAACTGCACACAGCAGTAAACTAAAGAACTTAATACAAAAGACCCCAAACCCTAGGAATCAAGCCATAACCACAAGAAAAATATACAATCACCTTTAGTCCCTTGCAGGCTTAGCCTCACAGAAATAGACTTTCTAGCACATCACCCCATAAGGAGGCTGCCTTGGCACTACTGAAATTGGCCCGCTTAGCTAACACGCGGCAGCCAGCTCTACACGTACAGGGACTGGCATGTACCTTGGAGCACAGAACCAGCAAAAGGCCTGTGAACAACTAAAATCCTATCCAATCAATGGAAGGAAGATGATCTGCACAAGGATTAATTTCACCTATATGCCTAAAATCTTCAGTTTTTATGTGAGAGCACACACAGAAAGCAACTTACACGTTTGCTGCTGCCCTATGAAACCAGCTTCCTTATTTTCACTGTACCTTACCTGAGCCACTGAGGGATCCAGATTATTCATGATCATCAACATAATGGCAGCAGCTGATTTGGTCTTGCAAGGGTAGTCTCCTATGGGGTATGCTCTGAAACGGTAGTCACAAAAATTTAGGAGAGACACTCAGACTCACAAGGCCAACCTCAACATACCTCACAGAAATACCGCTGCAGGCCAACACATTCGTTTGAGTTGCAGGCTTTTATTTAGGAGAGATTTTTGGGGGGGGGGAGGGGGAAGTGAAGATCTGAAATGACATGTACCTTAACAGGCAAATCAGGTTTTAACTGTTATCAGAACTAAGCAGAGAAAAAAATTGTATTCGGCTTATTTGCTGAATTAGTTAATCACGATTGGTGATAAATATGGTGGCCAAGAACTGGATTATTTTTAGGATGCTGGAACTGGCCTCTGTAACACAGTTGCGAGGCCAAGCAGCTAAGTCCTGCAACACCAAGGAAAACATCAGTGGAAGCTGCCTTCAGCCTCATTGGCCCTTGTTATTTAAGATCCTACCTAAGAAAAAACACCCAGCTTGAATTTCAGTCTCAAAGCAGCTCTCAAAACCCAAACTAGTTAGGAGAAATATGGACCTTTTTACTGAATAAGATGCATTTCATCCAGAAAGTTGAGAGGGAAGGTAAGGGAAACCCTCACAAAGGTATTCTGAGTCAGGTTTCCTAGCACTAACATGCTTCAATGCCAACCGCTGTGATCATCTCACTGTTATCTTCTCCTCCACCACCTGTTATATCAAATTTCTCTAAAACTTCTAGTCCTAGATTTATACCATAGGTCTTCAGGGCAGGGACAGTTCCTTTGCTGTGTTTACACAGGTCTTAATACAATTGTGCTGTGGCCTCTAAGGTATGATACCAAAAGAAAGTATATCACTGATCAAGAGTTTTGCTCTTTCACTTTCTGTAAGCAACACTACCATTATGATACTGGAAATTCCTAAAACTACCTTCATTTGACATGGTTTCTAAATGATCTTCCTTTTATTGGACTATAGATCTGCAGTGGCTGGACACTTGCTTTGTACAGGGAAGACAGTTACACTGAAAAGGTTAGGCTAAAGAGTGCCAACTACAAAAAAAAAAATTGGACATCTGCTGACATGCTCATGAGCTAAGATGTGGAATGTGTATTTTACAGATTTAGCGAATGGGCTCCTTCCATTATCATATGCACTTTATCCTAGCTTTTGACATAAGGATTCTAAAACAAATGCCTTGTAGTCATTGCCAAACCAGGAGGAAAAGCATTTGAGTTTTTCTACAATGCTTTTTTTATTAGTGTTTTTTGCTTTTCTAAGCTTGATGTGGCAAAATAACAGGATTCCTGTGGAATGATACCAATTCATTGAGAGGAGATATTTCCACTTAATATTGCTCAGAACATAAGAAACCCAAAGTTCAGATATTAGCTGAGTGAGCTGGTATGGGAACATGGCTGTTAAATGGGACAGAAACAAGCTGGACTGTGCTCCCTGGGACATACAGAACGAAAGCCAAATACTACCAGAATACAGAGAACAAAAGGCATTTTCTTAATCTGAGACTGTAAGATTCTATTAGAAACAGTGATCAGTGAAATGGTCACAAAGAAAAAAAACTGTTTGAAGCTGTCAAGGAGTCACCGATGCCAGTGATGGAAACAAGCTGGTGGACTGTCTCATCCAAGCCTACTTGGAAGGTGCCCTCATCTGTAGTTCAGGACTAGGGTCCTCTGAAGTCCCGCTCTGCAATATCTTTCAGACAGTCTTCCAGTTGTCCTCCCCTTAGCTGATTTCTGCAAGAGCTGACCCAAGACTAGTATGGACAGCACAGAAACATGGATGTCTGTGGAAATCACAGTGATTTCTAGTTGCTTACTTTATTCAGATTTCTGTATAGACATTAACCAGGCCCCTGCTGGATGCAAAAAGGAATCAATCAGTCTAAAAAAAAGCAGCTAGCCCCTGGCAGTCCTCTCTGAAACTGTTCTGCTTCACAAACATTAGCCCCATCACCCCTAGAATGATGTGATGCTCCAAGATCAACAGGCACAGCATATTACAAACCAGGGTCAGATACAGGTTCCAATGACAGAAAAATGTACTGTCCCTCTTTTAAGCTCAGAAAGCTGCCTGGGAAACAACCAGCCGCTCACAGGAGGTCTCCAGCCATCCACTCATCTGATCTTACCTCTTAGTTCAGTTAAGTCTTGACTTGCAGCAGCTCACGACTACTGCAAGTTTTCTGTTCAGGTTGCAAACAGAGGTCTCCGAGTAATGACTGGCCTCTAGAAACTAAGATTTTCATTGGGCAGAGCATTTGGAATCTGTGTGTATGGTAAAGTTGGCGTTACCAAGCACACAACCTTGCGCTGTCCTTTCCCTGCATTGAGTGATGCTCAGCTTTCCAGCGGCGAGACTGTCCCAGCCCTACCACAACCTAATCAAAAGGGTGCACACTGTCGCCCTACTAATTCCATGGGACTCTCATGAGCACAGAGAACAGGATGAAAGTTGGCAGATGAATGATCACGGTAACACAGCTGTACAGAAGAGCATCCCAAAACATGCAGTATCCCTCATTGGAAATGATACCACTGCTATCTAATGATACACAGAACATCCAATTTATTCAGATGATGCATATTCAGATCATTAATATATTATGGCATGACTTCTACAAGAAATAAATTAGGACATAGCAATGCCACTATTTAAAGGCCAGTTTCACAGGTGAAAGCTGGTAAGCAAATGGCAGCCAAATACAATGTGAACCATCCAGTCCTTACCTCATCTCAATATCTGGAAAGAATCTGTACATATAGATATGGCCATACAGCCTGAGTTCTTCAGCAAATTCCAGTGCCAGCTTCTTTTGTATTTCAGGTGGGAAATAACGCAGGGCATTGCGCAAAGCCAGCTGCCAAAAAAACCCAAGACAAAAATCGAGGTAAAAGAGAAATGGAGGTAAATGGGTGAGCCTGAATATTAATCAGACTCAGCTGGAAGCCTGCCTAAGTTATCACAAGAATGATCTAATTTAAAAGGCCAAGCTCACACCAGGGGAGCTCCATTCCAGCTTTCCTGTTGAAGTGTTTCCACCTGCATCTTTCCTTGTAGATTCAATTGCAGTACACATGTAACCGCCCCCCCTTTCCACCCCTCCCAAATCTGCATGGAGAGGCCTTGGAGAGATTTGTTAAATAGTGCTTAATCCTATGAATATCAGACATGGACGAATTCCTTCTCACAATGCTAGGGGGCACTGAATTACCAAGGAAAAAATTGTTCAGAAATCCTTAGACTGAGACCCTGAACTCCCGGAGACACTGAAGACCCTACTGTACTTTCCATTCAAAAAAGGGATCTTAGCCCTGAGTTATGTGACATACTCCCAGATGAAGATGTTCTTGGGCTAAGTTTTATTAAAGATTCACTACATTTAGCATCCTAATGTATTGCAGAGGGTGGTGGTTTACATTATTTTATTGATGCTACATGTATCAATTCCAAATTAGCTGAAGTGATTACTAGGCACTTAAATTCTGCAGATGATACTACGTGGCTTATGCTCCCTATTGCAAACCACAGCTAATGTCTTTGAAGGCAAAGTACAGCATGTCCTTTTGGCTGAAAGAAACCATAAATAAATCACTATCTTTAGTAACAGTCTGTTAAGTCATGTCTCCATATTCCATGTTCCATTTGATTAAAACCATAATAAGAATAAAGATTTTGTAATCTTTAAAAAGCCAATTTCATGCAAAGATGCTAAAAGATCTTGTAAGTTCCCTGGCAAATGGCGATGCTACCCAAATGACTTTTTGTTGAAGAGATTCACAAATCATATGGAGTTTCACATCTTCTTTAGGCTGATTTTTAATGGCTGTGGAAAGGATAGAAAGGGATCAAGTTCGCTTCCAGATCTGGTAACAGTCTACAAAACCAGGGAAGCCCAGTTTTGGAGAGGGCCGAGCACAGCAGGGATACTTCATGTTTGTGACACCTGCCGTTGGCAGATCAAAGAGTTACAGAAGCAAGTCTTTCCTGGAGGAAGTGCAGGGGTAGGCTGTAGTACAGGAAATGGGTATCTAGAACAAAGACACCTAGAACCATCCAGTCTAGGTGTTATCACCATCCATCCTGGTAAGAAGTCCTGAAAAGCTCTATAAAGCTCTTAGCTCAGTAACAAACCTCCTCATTCAACATGACTGTGCTTTGGCCCATATGGCTAGAGCCCCTTCATTTGAGCACACTGGTCTCACATACCTTAGAGCACACAGAACAATAATCTAAAAATGCCCCATACTAAGGGTTTTGTTAGCATACTTGCTACTGAGCAGACATATGGGTCAGACCTTTTCAGACCAGTGAAGCTGTACTGATTTGCACCAGCTGAGAATCAGACCAGTAAAACCCTACAAATTAGATTTGCCATTCCACAGAGAATGGCAATGGGGAAAACCTATTTACCAGATGACAAAATGCAACTTCATCTTCAGATACCACCTTGTTCTTCTGCAGTTAGATGAGCAGTCTTTTTTCAAGGGAATGTTATTAATAAACAAAAAAATCCCAGCTATATCCACACCATGACAAAATATGCGGGGATTTTCAGTCAGCCTCAGCATCAAGCAGCCATCACAGTGGGTTCTAGACCTAAGAAATTTCTAAAGGAAGAATAAAGTCACCTGCACCCCTTGCAACAACAAAATGAAGAGGAAAATACTGCCACATTTGGCACTTTGCCTATGAAAGCTACAGAGAAGTATCAGGACATGTCTTTTGCTTCCAGTCTGGCAAGGATCACCCAGTCTTTGACAAATATATTATTTCTATTATAATGGAACTGATGGGCAAATATTTTTCTTCATCCTAAAAATACAAGCAAGCAAAATCTTGTTGGATTTTCAAATAAATTAACTTACGCTGAGCCTCTTTTCTATTGATGTTACACATTAACAGAAGCCTGAATTTTGATGATGCAAACATTAATGAAACATGAACTTGGATGTTATATGAAGGGTGGGAAGGGAGCCTTGGCTGCACAGACAATAGAGAGCTGATCTTATGAAAGAGGACTAAGACCAGGGCTTGTTTAGCTTAACTGAACAAAGGTGACATTTGATTGCTGTCTCACTGCAGGATAAATGTCAAAGCAGGAAGGAGCTTCAGGGAAATGCTAGAAGAGGAATAAATAGCTGTGAATTAGCTGTAAAAAAAAAAATGTAGTCTTGAAACCAGAATAATTTAATTTAAGAGATTCTGAAACAGTCTCTTAATAGAAGAGCTAGGGTGCTTAAAACTGCTTAGATGGAGGCTGACTGCTTTAAGAAAGGGCAATTGCCATGTGCATCAGGGAGAATTTTGCATAATCATTATTGAGTCATAAACTGAATAACCTGAGAAAGGCACTCGAGGAGCAAATTCCAATAGGCTGTTCATCATGCTTTTGTGGAAAGGCAATGCAAGGCCATTATTCCTTACATTTCATTAAATCACCATATAAAACATTATTCTGACCTTTAAGTAGGATGTCTTAAAAAAAATAATCAGCTATACTTATACTCCTGAGCCTGGTAGGTTGTTTTAAAAAAAAAAAAATGCTCTGAATTTGCTGACTTACTGATTCAGTTCAGCTCAGTGCAATACGAGCATCAGATGCAAGAATCTTCCTCTTAGTTCTGCCAGCTGGACCTAACATTTGATTCTTATGTTTAAGCTCGTAGGGTGTCTTTTTTTGTATTCACTGGCATTTATATAGCAAAACATGATCCTGCTGCTGGTTAATCAAGATTCAGACCTCTCAATGTCAAGAAAACGTAGTCAAAAGATCCCATGAAATCCTGCTTCAATCAATCATCTGTAAATACCTTTGTGAGATTTCCTTGAGAAATCAAGAATACTAGCCTCTTTGTTAATTGGTGTTTGTCAAAGAGCCAGGGCCTCTTCAGAAGGAACGGTATTCATTTCCCTTTTCTAACATCATCATCAGGACTTCCAATTTAAGGATCTTGAGACACTCAGACATGAAGATTTGCAGTTTCCCTGTTTACTGAGGCAAAGGGAAGCATGAGGAGAAGAAGTTACTAGCTAAACTCTACAACAGTTTCATTCTCAGTTTTGCCGTTTCCCAGTGGAGATGTTGCTTGCCTCCCACTTGTTCTCTTCTGCCTGATGATATCCAGGCCCAGAATCTTTGCTGGCACTATTCTCTAAACAGCACCTGTAAAAGCAAGATGGTTGTTCTATGTGTTATTCTTCCTGATAGGCCCCAGTTTAGATCAGCTCAGCTGAGAAGTAAACCTGGTGATTTCTGACTGGGCATTGTTATAAATGCCCCATGGGCTGTGAAAGTTTAACCAAGTTCTTTATCATCCAGACATTCCAGAACAGAGCCAACAGGTTGGCTTTCCCAATCCACATATAAACTTTTTAAAGGGGCCTCATTTCTGAATGCGTAAAGCAACCATTAAGGTCAAATGTCCTGCTGCTTCTCCAGAAAGTTCATCAAGAACTTCAGGTGCTACACAACTTCACAGTTCTGGTCTTTGGCTCTTCGTACCAGGATGTCATGAAGCAGCGAGACCCAGCTGCTTCCTAAGGAATACAGAGTCAGAGTAACCCAGCCAGCAGGACGGCCACCTCACCAGGCAGGGTGCAGTCTCATAGTACCTGAGAGAGGCAAGCAGGGCAGCCCAGGGAGGGCAGGCAGGTTCCACCAGGAGTCCAGATCATCAGACATGATCACAGTGATGTGCAGGTCTGGGGCCAAGCTAGGAGTGCAAGTCAGGATTAGGTCTGCTGATAGTTACCACAGAGGGGTAGTGCCCAGAAATCACCAGGAAGGTTCATAACAGCAAGTCAGCTCACAGGCTGGAGACCAGATCAATGAGGTCCATGGCTGAGCACTAGGACACCCTGTGACAGAACCAGGGACAGGCACATCTCTAACATAACCAAGATCAAAGTCCCAGGCCTGAGCTTAAATGGAGCCCCCAAGCCTATGGGCAGAGGGTGTGGGTGGAGCTCTCAGGTGAGGCTTCTCAAGGTCATCAAGGCCCATCACTGACCTCAGGGCTCTATGGCCGACACAAGCCAAACTGCAATCAGGTAACACATGATCATGCTGGGGTACCAGGAAGATTGTAACATGATTTGGCTCTAAGATATGTAAAGGAACTGCTGCATGGGTGAAGACATACCATTTTTTTCTGATTCTGAGCAACACTGAGAAGAGTAGTTGCTCCAGCTTTAGTGGCATTTCAATGAGTATTGTGCATGCAACATCCTTGTTCTGCAAAGAACACACCACGCGTAAGATTTTAGGGGCAGTTTCTTTGTAGCATATTTACATTAAGTTACAGATGCTGAGAAACAGAAAGCTAAAGTTTCCTGAAATGCAGAGAGAAAGAGGGAGGATGTGGCTATTTCAGGCCTCAGGCAAAGAATGCTGAAAGAAGGGAACTCAGGAAACGTATAAACAGAATCAGTTCTGAGAAATGGCTTGATTTAACCAAGAAGATTAAAGTTGGTATGATAGGAAGAATTATACACCTCTTCAGCAAGCCCCAGAACACACAGAACTTTATAAATCTTGCTTACAGGATTTCTATTATAACCACAAAAGGAGGCCTGAGAAAATAAAACATTGGCAGTGCTGAGGTTTATTATTGTAGAAAGGGCTAAAACTGGAACGAAGGCATATGAAGAGGGACAAATCCTGAGGAAATTAGCAGAGCATTATTAACGTCACTTCTGTCAAAGCTTCCCCTGAGTACTTCAATTAGAAAATGAACACAGTGTCATACATAAAGACAAGCCTCGCAATATGCTCAACATTGCACACTACCAAAAAAATCTGGGAACTTGCCTCAAGACTTGAAAATGACCTTGTAGGCAGAAAAACTTTTCTATAGCTGTCTGTCTACATGCCTTTCTAAGCATGGAACACCTCTTAGAAAAAGGATATTTGACTTTTCAGATATAAAATAAATAATAAGCTAAGCCTCTAACTATGTTAAGAGTTTAAGGTGGAATAAATCAGAAAGGAAGCTTTTAAATCTTTAACAAACCAGCTAGCATGACCTCATCACTATGTGGTAGATAAGAAGAAGAGATGAGGGTAAGATCATAGAACCATAGAATAGATTCATCGAATCATTAAGGTTGGAAAAGACCTCCAAGATCATCAAGTCCAACCGTCAACCCAACACCACCATGCCTACTAAACACTGTCCAAAGTGCCACATCTACACATCTTTTTAACACCTCCAGGGATGGTGACACCGCCACCTCTCTGGGTAGCCTGTTCCAATGTTTGACCGCTCTTTCAGTAAAGAATTTTTTCCTAATATCCAAATGAAACCTCCCCTGATGCAACTTGAGGCCATTTCCTCTCATCCTGTCAATGTTAGACAGTAGACCAGGATCAGAAAATCGGTCTACTGCCGTCTCCCTGCAGCACTTAAAGGAGGCAGGAAACTATTCCCATTTCTATATAAGGAGTGAGGACTTTGTCGTTACCTTTCTCTCCCCAGGTAGAGAGCAAGATTTGGCATTCTTTTGAGAGATACCACCTTCTCTCCTGGAACATGGACTCCTTCATGCTGTAGCAGACTTCTCATTGGGAAAAGTGATTTAGCAAAGGCAAGGGATAAAATGGACATGACTGGCAATGTTCTGACATGCAGCGAAACTCCCTGCTCTTTTATCTTCACAGCCGTCAGCACAAACCACAGCCCCCTTCTGCACACTTAGTAGCCACACTTCCATGTGTCTGAGCTGTCCCAGGCACAGACAGGATGCCTCAGCCATGAATGCTCCTGACATTGAGGTATATCCTCTTTGGATATCTCACAGCTGTTCCTCTGTCTACCCTTTGACTGGGCTCTCCTCTGCATGTGGAAGTGGACTTTGAAAGAATTTGGCTGCTGATGCCAGTGGGGAACTCCCACGAAGGCCAGGAAGTTGCAAGCAACTTGTTAGTGGGGAAGAAACTTCTGTGTTCTGACCAGAATGTCACATTTTAAGTGATGTTACATGTGATGAAGCACAGACTTTCAAAATAAGGAACCCACCTTATTCTCTCCTACACGAATTCCTAAGGATGTTCACCCATTGACCATTATTTTCTGCTGACAATTTTTTTAAGTCTCTGACATGAAATAATGCAATGATTACTTTACTGTGTATGTAGACTATTCAAACAAAAAGAGACAGGAAAAGAATTACACAACTAAAGACAAATAATTAATTCAACTCCCTACAAACCTGCCTAAATTCCAGGATGCATCAGACTACTGGTTAAAATAAATTATCTTTGGATCTTTTATGCAAATATACAGATATGTAGCTTGTACCATGATGTTGATTTACCACATTTGATGTTTATTGTATTTGAGAGGTTAGCTTTCACTCCCATACATATGCAGTGTTTTTGCAACAGCACTCATAATTTCATCTCCAAGGAACAATGCTGGATTGACAGCATTGAAGTCTAGTGCCTCTTGTTTAGCAATTTAAAGTCACAGAAGATGTTGTGCAGCAAATCTCCAGTATTTTGTTCTGTTGCCCACTGAAATTATAACACCAAGGACATACACAGAGTTAGGTGCACACTCAGAAAAGCACTTGAGGTAATCAGTCAGGTCTGCTGCCCCGAGCTGCATTTATCTGAAAGAAAGAGAAGTAAGGCCCTGTGAAACCCCATGTTACCTTTTTCTCCTGAGCAGTGAGATTAGGGGTTCTCACGGGTGCATGGGGTATTCCTTTCCTCCGACCTCTGTTTTCAGGCAAAGGGTATAGAGGAAGGCCACGACAGATTTCCTTCAAGCTGGTCATAGCTGCTGAGGAAATAGGAGGAGGAAAAGCAAGGCAAACTGGAGAGGTACAAGGAACAGGGAATGAAGGGTGCAAGCAAGCAAGATGCTAAGCGATTCAGATGTACCACCACTCTGGGGTGATCTCGAAGAGGACAGCCTGTCCTCTGGCTTTTGCAAACAGGCCTGTCAAGCAGAGAGGGCACAGGTGACACACCTCCCCCCTCTGTGCCATGCCATTGGCTCTTCCCTCCTCCCCCAAAATGAATGATTCACAGTTTTGCTGTTTATTCTCTGGGTGCTTTGTCAGCTGGTGCTGTGCTAAGCCACTAGAGCAAACTCAGTCATTTTCCAAATCATCTGATTCCCCCAATGTCCAAATGAGAGTCATGGTCTGGAGCATGAACCTTGCCTGAGACCTCAAGGATTGTGCATTTACATTTCAATAGCTTAGGAACTAACTAAAGTTAATTATTATTATTCACGTCACCGTTCATACGCACTGTTCAGCTAAGACAGGCGTTCTCTGTTTGACACCTCTAGGTATGGGCTGATCGTCAGATCTCATCAATTCGTCTTCTAGACAATGGCGGGTGTCAATGATAATGGCGAAATTTCCCCCTTAGGTGCTAGAACCTCTTAGCTTACAGGCATGAATGGATTTCAGTAGTATTAAACTGGAAATGTAGTCATTAGCACTGGTAGTGGTTTTCTCAAGACAGGCAATAATTGGGAGGAAGAATTAAGGCTTTCAGTTCTAAGTCATTTTTATACCCTACAGTCAACAATAACTAGAAAGTCTTACGGTACTGCCATCCAGACATCACAAGTAAATAAATATTCTTAACTTTGATTTTCCACTTACAGTGCAACAAAAACTTTGCTCTCCATTTTTAGTTGTCGTTTAAATTATACAGGAGCTTCTTGACCTTTATTACATCCATGGATCTAAAACTCTTGGCCAGGGAATTTTCTCAAGTGCCAGAGTTCAGGCCTGGTGAAATTAACTGGGAGAAACATTTCAGTTTGGAATGAGCCTAAAACCTTGGAATAAAAAAATACTGCGTTTTCCCACAAAGGCAGCAATCAACAGGCGATGACAACAAAGCACAATTATTAAATGACAGCATCTCATTAATGTCACATTGACTTTAGCTCTAGGACATACTGCACATCCCCAGCTCCCGCTGAAGATGCTTGAGTTGAAAGAACTCAGAATGTCCCAGGAGAGCTGAGCACGCAGCAGACTCAAGCCCTCTGAAGGATACTGTCATTTATGGCAGGAGAATTTAGTTTTGTAATTATACAGTATATTAGCTGTTTTCAAACAAAAGGCAAAGGCAAAAAGGAGAGGGAAAAGCCCGCTTCACATTTTAAAATTTCCTATTGGGTTTTCTTACTAAAAACATACAAAAAAAAGAAGGTAAGGGTGAAGTCAGAAAATTCTAGCCCCAAAACCTAGCTAAATAACCCTGCCTTCCATAAATATTCCCACCCCAAAGGGAAATAAATCTTTCCTTATTCTTCTTTGTATGACCCACATTCTCCAAATCCCTCTGAGGTCTGTGCACACATGGGCGCAAGAACAACCTCGTCTGCATTTTGGCTCCCATCGGACCTGCTTCCCTCGGTGACAGCCAGCAGAACTTAATGGCGTTACAGGGCTCTGAGAGCTGCAGAAAGACAGAATGAAGCTGGGGCGGCGGGGACGGACGGACCTCACTCCCTGAATTAAAATTATTTCTAGGGCCGAGCACTTTCGCCCCCTGATCGGTGCATGCTGGAGCCTCTCTGGGAGCTTTGTGTTGGAGTTACCCGAGCAAATCCGACTTCGGGGACATGCCCGGCGCTGGCCGGGGCAGGCAGGCGTGTCAGCGGTGCCAGGGCAGACCCCCCGGCTTCTCTGGGGCGTCACGGGTCCCCTCGCTGCCTGGCTCGTCCCGGCTCACGGCTGCGATTACGGAAAGGAACCCGATGCGCGTGCCCG